TTCCCCCCCCCCCCCCCCCCCCCCCCCCCCCCCCCGCGCTCATCTGCCGATCATGGTGCTGCATCGTTCCTTTATCCTTTAGTTTCCTCCTTTGTACAGGCTTACCGTGTGGCCTGCCACTATGGCGACAGCGAGGAGCAGGTGGAAGAGAGCATGCGCATTGCCAGCAGCGCCGTCTACAACAAGCTGATGCTGTTTGTGCTGGTGAGCAAGGGGGGTGGACAGGTAGTGCAGAGCAGCGCTGGGTATACCAAGCTGTGACTCTCCTTCTGACCACTGGTGGCCCTGCCCGGTGCCAACTTGCAGCGTGAGATTGACGGCATCTTTCAGCGCGTGCTGTTGGAAGGTGCCAGCGCCAAACAGAAGCAGCAACCTCTCGCTGCAGCATCGCTGGTGAGGTTGCCACGCTGGAAGAAGGCTGACCCGCTGGTGAAGAGCTACTTGGGCAATACGCTGCATCTGCTGGGTGAGTCTGGGTGGTTGGTCAGAATGCCAAGTTTGGCTCACATTCAAGTCGGGAAGCTGGAATGCACCCATGCCTTCGCTCAGACTCCTGTCTGCCTCGTCCCCTGCCCCCGCTACCCTTCTGCTGTATGCAGGCGCTCTGACTGATGGCGCCATGCTGACCTTCATCCTGCGTCGCCTGCGCGCCTCCACCTTGCTGCTGGCACCGTACGAGAAGCTGCAGCGCCGGCTTCTCAAGATGGCGTTCAGCCTGTTTGGGTCGGCTGACAATGCGACGCGCGTGCAGGCCATCCTGCTGGTGCGGCAGATGGCGCTGGAGCTGCCGCAGCCTGCTTTGGACAACTGCCTCAAGGTTGGTATTGCTGAAAGGGGATCGCTGAAAGGGGATCGCAGCCCTGTGGGTTGGCTAGGAGATGGCGGTAGATGCAGAGTGTCAACCTAGTGTCAACCTGGCCAAGTATTCAACCAATGTGCAGCAATGGTGTCAGGCCTTCTACCCACCCCAGCACTGCCTATTCTCTTCACGCAGGGCGTGTACCGTGCTTTCAGCACCAATGCCAAGTTTGTCAACGCTGCCAGCGTGCCCCAGATCAACTTTATGGCGGCGGCGGTGGTCGAGATGTACGGCATCAGCGCAGGTGGGCGTCTGTGTTCGCGGCCCGACATTGCAGCTGCACAGGTTGTGCCGGCTGCCCCCTACTTGCGTGCCATGTGCCATGCCACTACCATCGCTGTACTTATGCCACGGTGCCTGCAGCCGCCTCATACCAGCATGCCTTCAGCTTCATCCGCCAGCTGGCTGTGCTGCTGCGGTCGGCCCTGACCAGTAAGAGCAAGGAGGCATATCGTGAGGTGTACTGCTGGCAGGTGGGTTTGGGTGGGGAACGGCTGGCAGTGAGCATGTCTGGCGGTGTGTGCAACTGCCAGGGCACCTGATGTACTGGTGCCTCTCTGCGGCCGCTCTGCATGCAGACTATCAACTGCTTGGAACTGTGGGCCAAGCTTCTCGCGGCCAAGGCGGACGAGCCTGAACTGCGTCCCCTCATTTACCCAGTCACGCAGGCGCGCACCCTACTGGTTGCTGTGCTTGAGCACGGATGCACGCATGATGAACACTGGCATGCCACATGTGTGACATTCACTACCCCAACCGTCCGTCTGCTGCAGCTCCTGTTGGGGGTGGCCCGGTTGGTGCCCGCGCCTGCATACTTCCCGCTGCGCCTGCGCTGCGCTCGCGCTCTCAACCGGCTGGGCGAGGCCACCAGTACTTTCATCCCGGTGGCACCCGTCCTGCTGGAGGTGCTGCAATGGAGCGACCTTCGCAAGGCACCCAAGCCAAGCACGGGCCAGCACCCCGACGTGCTGCTGCAGCTACGCGTCAGCAAGGCCAACCTGCGTAGCGCGCAGTACCAGGAGGAAGTCATCGGGCAGGTGAGTGCCAAATTCATACCGGTGCCTGCATGTGCTCCCTGGCATGCGCATTGTGACCTTGTTGCCACCTGCGGGGCTTGCCGCAGGTGATGGAGCTGCTGGCAGAGCATCTGGCCTGTTGGGGCTGCCACATTGCCTTTCCCGAGCTCTCCTTTCTCACCCTCAGTCAGCTGCGCAAGTTCATGAAGAACACGCCAGTAGACCGCTTCAGGCAAGGGCGCATTGGTGTATGGTTCGGTGCACGACGCCACATGGCGATGCCAGACGTATCGATGTGGTGGTCGTTGAGATTTTTCCTTTCTCTGTTTGCTCGCATTTGCAGAAAGGCGGCCAAGCAGCTGGTTGAGGCAGTGGAGAAAAACGTGGCGCATGTAGGCAGTGCACGCGATCAGGTGAGCACGTAATGGTATTCACTGCTTGCACCACCACACCATGCCCACTGTGATGGCTTCCAAAGCCCATGCTGCACGTGTTTTTCCCAACTGGCAGGTGGACTTTTCGCCCAAAGATCTAGCTCAAGTGTCCACGTTCCTGGCAGGGGAGAACGTGGCCAAACAAGTGCGCAGGGTGTGTGTGTGTGTATAAGGTCTCTCATGTCCCGATGCCGGCGCTTATTTTCCTGAGCCTGCCGTTCTTCGACCCCTGCTGCAGGCGCCAATACAGCAGTATGCGCGCTCGCTACTGACCCGTGCAAGGCAGCGACTTCAGATGCGGCTTGCTGATTCGGTGGACCTGGGCAGCGGGCCAGGCGCGGCAGAAGATGACAGGTAGGAGACCGGGGGGTTGCACCTGCCCAAGGGGATTTAGCTCGCCACAAACTGTCTGTACGGATGAAACGCCCCTGCATGCTTCACGCACCATGTTGAGCATGTTAATTTTCATTTGCAGCCATGTCGAGGTTCCAACCGGCAACCTCTTGCCCAAGCAACGGCAGCGGCAGACGGGGCTAAACGATGCGTCTGCTATGCACCGACCGCCAGTAGCGCAGCAGCACGATAGCAGCGATGACCTGGGGTTGGATGCGCAGGAGGTGACGCCGTACCAAATGTCTGATGATGGCGACAGCGACTGTGCAGCATTGGATGGAAACGAGGAGGACGACATGTCGGGCGAGGATTCTGACATAGAGCAGCCAAGGAAGCAGCACGTAAAGCGACAGCAGCAGCGCGGTGGCCAGCCACGCGGCGCAAAATCGTTCGGCGGTGGCTGGGGCAGAGGCGGACGTGGTGGCGCTGGCACAGGACAAAACCGGCCACGGAATCAGAGGGGACGTGGCGGACGGTAACATGCATACACACATCCTGATGGCGTTGTGCATCCGCCCTGGCTGCCTGCTTGGTTTGGCTTCGTTCTGGCCAGTTGTCGATTCTCGTATTGGTATCCTTTGTAACAAGGTTCAACGGAGGAGATGGCTATAAATCTGGCAAACAATAAAAATACAAAATAGGGGACAGCAGTGAATAGTAACAACAATCATGCTTTGCAATGCGCGGGATGCTCCACTCGGATGAATGTGAATTCGCTGCAGCATCCTCTGAAGTTCTTGGCCTGCAGAAACAAGCCATCACAAAACAAAACAACAATTAAATAAATATATATTTTTTCTTCTTATTTCAAATAATCAAATCATAAAAATTTTCCTCCTTACATCCGGATTGTCTTCACGGCTCACTATTCCATATCCCAGCTCTGCTAGATGGGCGAACACCACGACGAGCTCTGCCAGGCTGAGCTCATGCATGGGCCAAACCATATGCTCCCAGCTGTTTCGGTCTTTGTGGAAGGGGGTGAAGCCGTACAGTGACTGCGCGTACAGGGACTGCGTTCAGGCATCAGATGCCGTCAGCAATGCAAAAGTGTTCGTACAAAGAAAAACAGACCCACATTCCAGTGTATTTCGACGCTGATCTGATCTGGGAAGTGGCAGCTTGTTGTCCACTTCCAGCCACTGAACACTTCGTACTCAAAGCCCTCAATGTCCATCTATGCGAACAACAAACAGCGCCAAAGTTACAAAAGCGGATTCACCTGGGCGAAGATGCGCATCACCGGCTCACCTTCAGCAGATCCACGCTGGTGTGCTGATTCTGTTTGAGGACCTGGTCAAGAGTTTGAAACTCCTGATTGCCTTTGCGAACCTCATTCTTGTTGCCCAGGCAGACCGAGTGGTATACGTGCCGGCCCTCGACAAGGGTCTTGGGTTTGGAGGTGCAGTCAAAAGTATGAACTGTGCAGCCTTCCTGCATCACAGCCGGGGGCGTGTGTTGGGCGGTACAGCGCAGGGTTCAAGCTCGCAACGACAGGTGCCTGCTACCTGGAGCATTTCCTCCTCGAAATCGAACTGCTCGTTGCTGCCAATGCTATACACCAGACAGCCCCCATCACTGCGCTTCAAACTCCCCATGCATAACCACTTCCCACCATCCCCCGAGGCTCCCTTGCGCTGCGGCAGCTCCCCGTCGGGACAGCGCACGATGGGGAGGAAGAGCTGGAATCGGTCAAAGTCCTCTGGCTCAACCCTGCAATCCAGCCACAAGGGAATGATGCACTGCACGTTCATCCAGCTCGCCACCCCACCCAGTTTGTTACCACACCTTCTGATAGGCTTGGTGCTGCCTTCCTCGGATTGGTACTCCGCCGCCTCTCTGGCGGTGTAGAGCTCAGCGCAACGCCGCAGGAGGCTACTCCTCCAATCTTGCAGCGCAAGGCTGGCATTCCTGTGCCATGCCGAAGTGCCTGTGCTCTGTCGGGCTCCGCTGCTTTGAATTACGACAGCAGCGCCCTTGCACAATTTCGCATAATGCCATGCCCCAATCAGCGCCGGTGCCAGGATGAGCACCGGTACAAGGACCAGCAATGAAGCCTGTTGTGGCCGCTGAAATTTCATAGCTGTGCTGACTTGGGTGTCTGATTCACCAGCGCGGGGACCGCCACCGCCCACCGCCCCGTCCCGCCGCTCTGTGTGCCGCCGCCTGGACTTGTGTGTGCGCTTTATCGGCACACAACGCCCTTATAAGGTTGCCACACCGATATCACGGGCAACTGCCCGAAGTTTTCGACTTGTTTAGTCGCTCAAAGTGTGTCGCTCACAAAATGTTATGTCGCGACCAAAATTGCAATTGAAATTGCGCGGGAATTCAAGAAGTATTCGCGCCGAGACATGCAACAGGGAGGTGTTATCAACAATCCTGTGCAGAGACACGTACTAATAGGCTTGATGTCAACACCCAAATGGCGCCTGCTGCAGTTCAATCACGTCTCAATCAACCACCCTCAGTTGAATGCGGCAAATGGCAGGCATAATCGGTGCCGAAATCTGAACAACTGCCATTTAACAATGCACTGTCAGGTCCGTTCTAGCCATGGCCATGGCTTCTCTCGGATTGCGTTGTGCCGAGCCCTGCTATTTGCAGGCCGTGGCATTGATGCCACCGTGACCTGCAAATGTGCTACCTGCAAATTTTTGCAACGTCGTTTTAGCTCAAGCCAGCTTCCTATTCAGTTGCTGCAAGTCCCATTTATAATACGGCTGCGGCTCCGCAGGGGGCACGACGCCCAGCTGCTGCTGCAACGCTGACGCCACCAGAAAAGGGTCGATGTACATGTTGTGCTGCTCATCGTGCGAGGTGACCAGTAGCACGAAGACCCGCGCTCCGTTCTGACCTGTGGCACACACGGCGGCAGGGGGGAGGCGACATGCAGCTCGACCACCCAGCAGCCAGGGGGAGCTATGCCAGCTGCCTGGGAGGGGGCTGCTGATAGGCCCTACCGGCCTCCTCCCACACCACAACGCCCCACATCTCAGTGGGAAGGAATTCGAGCATGAATGTGTCTGGAGCTGCCCAAAACATGGCCTGCAGCAGGCAACAGAAAGCGGGTGGCAAAACCTGGGAACATGCCGGTTGCCTCAACGACCGAGAGTACAGCCCTGAATGAAAGGCTCACGTTGCACCATGCGCCCCCGTGTGGGCCAATAACGGCAGACACGTTGGCAGCAAAGAAAGTCATGACGTCTCTGATGCTTGCAAAATGGTCCTGATGTTTGGAACATGGCACAAATGGATCCCCTGGTTAGCATGGGGGAGCTTCGCGCACAGGGGAATTGTACCATTCAGCTCTGCCTTGCCTTGTTAAACACCACAACCTCCTCCCCCTGGCCGCGCTCACGAAGAACGCCCCTGATAGCCTCAAGAACAGCATCCTCATTGATCACCTGAACACGGTCCAATCCATGGCCAAGCAAGCAGCCTAAGCAACCAAGTTGAGCAGCCAAGCGGGCGCACAAACACAATCACCTTGCGGCCGCCATTCGACGTTCCACTTTGCCGGGACAAGTAGAGAATAACCTTTCTTTCCTTCAGCGGCAGTGCTTCTGGCAGCTGCACAAGCTCACGCAGACGGGCCGAAAGAAAAGGATGAATCAAGGGGGTCCGACATCCAAACACCAGCTCCTCCACGCTAAATTCAGCAGTTGCATGGACAACCTGCAACGCACAGCGACTCAGTGCCTCGAGCATGGATCGATGAGTGCACGCGCAGGTGGTGGTAAAACCCATGCACAATTCCTACATATTCCCACCTCTTGCTTGCCCCCTTGCTGCAGCATGGCCGCCCAAATGTCCTTGACATGCTGAGACTGCGGCACAGCACCGCTTACGATGCGGGTGCCCTCGTGCCGCCATGCCTCAGTTTGGACGATGAGTTTAAGAGTCCTGTCCAAGAAGTGCTAGTAGAACGACGAATCGGGCGAATTGGCTAGTACAGCCCTACCCTTATAAGTTGGTGGCGTGCCGGGAAGTAGTGGGGTCAGCCCGCGGTGCGACACGCTCACATCCATGCAGTGTCCCACTGCCCATGAGTCGGTGGGCGGGTCGTTCCTGCCAAGGGGCAGCCGCAATGGGTGGCAAGCAGGAATGCAGCAGAGGTGTAAGTCTATGTTGCAAGCTAGTTCTTGCTTTACCAGACTTTAAGCCCACACAAGCAAAGTCAGATGCCTGTGTGCACGCTGCTGGCGGTGATGCACTAACGCAGTCAACACCCCAACCAGAGTATAGCGCGCTGATCCCCGACAACACTACTGACGTACTTGAACGACACGTTGCGGAAGACAAGGTTCTGTCCGTGCTGCGACAGGTACACCGCCCGCTCACCGATGAGCACGAAGCGGTTGGGCGCGGCGA